TTTTTGACTTTAATATGTAATTAAATTAAACTGATACAAATCGGCTATAAATCGGCTGTCAATCGGTCGTATGACCGATAGGTGACCGATTGGAATATATGACCGATAGGTGACCGATAGGTGACTAATTGGCAGAATCGGTTATCAATCGGCATCCAATCAGTCACCAATCAGTCACAAATCGGTCATATGACCGATTGGTGACCGATTTTTCATATTTCGACCTGTGTAAAGTTGATCGAAAATTATGTTGTTTGCATTCCGTGATGTTAGTAAGGTCTTCAGAAATCTATACGAAAAAATAGTCATTAGTTTGCAAGCTCTGGGTTGATGCACAGCTACAGCCAAAAAAATATATCTCATTCATACCTTAATTTGTCTCGTCCAGACTTCAATAATTTTTTCGCCAACACTTATTTCAAACTAGGCCAACCAACATCATAATCTAAGAAATGCCTCTATTATCGACTATACTCTAACAATGCAAAGCATATCCTTTCTTCCTGGTAGAATAAACTTCTTGTCCTTTGTTGGAGCATTTCGTAAAATGAAATGAGTCCCATCTATTGACCCAATAATATCTTCAATACCTCCAATTGCTTTAAATCCTTCATGAACAAATTCCCTAACTTGACCACTTGGCCATTTATTTTATGAGAAATAATAGCTTTTATAACTCATTTGCAAAACAGAATTACTGCTATTCTAAAATTAGAACAAATTGAAAATATATCATTTCTTGACCTTAATCTTATTAATACTGCGAGTTGAAGTTCTACAGGTGATTGTTGTTTTGAAAAATTGAATGGTTTTAATTAAATTAACCAACAATTTAAAATTTCTTAGAAGCATTCTTAAAATTTTTTTAAACCTAATTTCATCATAAGCATCGTTCTTCATTTAAAGCTCTTCTTCACTTCGGAGTCTATATCTTCAATTATTTTTAAACTAATTGATTTCTATTATTTGTTGACGAATAACATATAATGCTCAAATTAAAAACCGATCAAATGATAATTTATATAATTTAAAGACGGATAAGTTTAACAATATGATAAAAAAAATTGATGAACCGGAGAATATATTAAACACCAAAGGTGGTTACCGAATTTTTATTGTTTAAGACGTTGTACAACTACTTATAATCAACCCCTTTTTATAAGGGTGATTTTATAGAGATCCTTGGATATAATTACGTGAAGTTAATTATGCACTTAATTATGCAAACTGGCAACACCAACCACGCTACCATGTCTGAAAGTACAAATTCAATGCCATTTGTCTGCAAATGGTTAGATTCTCATTCCAAACCACAGTACTTTAAAACCGTGAAGGAACTCAGAAAACACGTCGCTAAACACGACATTAATTCTTGCAACAAATCTCTTCCGGGAAATCATATTTACATATGTCCGTGGAAAGATTGCAAGAAATCTCATAATAGTATTATCATGTTAGAAGGTATAAAAAATTTGCAAGTATTTTTTGGCGCCGATACTGTAGAAATTATAATATTATTATTGTATCTTGTATCTTACAGAACATTTACGTAAGCACATTCAACAAAGACCATTTAAGGTTGATTCAAAAAACTATTTTATCCGTTACATTGCTTGCTTTGTAGGTACTAGAACGACTATATTAACTTTTTTCTTTAATATTTAGTGTTCAGTTTGTAATACCCGATTTGATACTCCTGTTGCACTAGGCCAACACTTGATCAACAACCATAAAGATAGTTTTACGGACTTTACAAGTGATGATGAAATAGAAGAATTGAATTCAGGTATTGTTATCATAATTCTTTCCTTTATTTAAAATTTAGCATAGTTACCTTAACATATTTTCTTTCCAAAGATTAAGTCGATGTCCTTGTGAAAGAAAAAGTTGATAGAGATGAAGCTAACTTTCTTATTGATGGAAAAGTCAAAGTCTCCCCAACAAGCCATACTGCAAAATTATCCTATCGTGATGTTCTCATCAAAGGAAGCGTTAATAATGATGTCACCAATACTTCTAAGAAAAGTAGCCCGGATACAAAGTACCCTTTTTATATAAGTTATGACCAGAGAGAAGAAGGTTTGAAATTATTACATGAAGGGTTAATTGCTATTTCAAACATGGCGGAGAAAAGGATAGAGGAAAACCTTGCCAATTATGATCCTAATAACACTGATAATTTGCCTGCAGCACCAAAAGATCATTTAACCGAGGAAGAAGAGGAAAAACTTTTTTGGGAAACAATTTATGATGTATATAAAGGGACAGATGCTATCATGATGTTAACTAAAGCTCGCGAAATGTTAGGAATGGAAATTTGAGCGTGAAATCTGTTTTAATGAGATTCTTTACAGCAAAGATTTTATTTCTTATATACTCCTCAAATTTAAATCAGAGAAATAAAATAATAAATATTTTTATTGATTTGCACAAGTTATTATTTATTTTTGTTTATAAGCTTTTGTCCTATTGAGTATCATACACACAAGATGTGCATAATTGAAATGCCTCGGCAAAACGACTATTCTGATTAGCGGTATTTAAAAGTGCAAGAGCGTTTTGCCGCTGTTCTAGCCTCGGCACATCTGGTCTAATATTCCAATACGGCCTATGAACTTGAATGTTTCGACTAGATTTATATGTTACTAATAAAGAAATGTGCCACATTTCCATCCCATAAACTGCCAATTTGTTGGTAAATCGTGTCCAAATATAACCATCATGAAAAGCAGCAGTACGTAATCTGGAAATAGACCTAAAACATTGTTCGTTCGTTAGGTCCGTATTATAGTCCGTTAAAAGTTTCTCATACATCATGCCAATGACATGGCATATGTCATTGGTATTTTGAAGAAACTTTGCGCCTGTGCATGGACCTGCAATAATCATTTGACACATTTAACATATCTAAGTATCTTTACTAGACCAAGACATAGATCAAGATATACTCACCAGGTACATTTTTTTCTACGACTATTAATGATCGGTTGTTTGAAATGGCATTTTGCCAAGTTGTTTCATTTACATTTGACCGTTTAGTCATAGGAACAATATTTACATGGTCAAATATAGAGATTCTGTCTTCGGGATGAACCTGTAAATTGGTTTTTCTTTCATAGCAAGCACCGTTTTTTTCTAGATAAGTGGCCATAATTTTGTCAAAGTAAATACTGTAATAAAGAAGATAATATCACTCGTATTGTAATATATGGCATTTCTGATACTCACCTAATTGTCTTCTTGATGCAGTACAAAGGCTACCATTGTTAAAAAATCTTAATAATTAACCAATGATTGATGTATTTAACTCCCCTAACTAAAAATTGAATTGAATTGGAACTTTGAATTTGAAGCTGTAGATAAAGGGTGAAAAAAATATTGTACAATAAAATTCAACATACTAGTTCCAATGGTAAACTTTTCAAAAATCTGGTATATCGAGTCTGATATATAAACAAATTTATTATTGTTATAGATAATAGTAGTCTCAACTCTAAGAGATTTAAGATTTGATTTTATCATATAATTTAAGCCGCTCCAATTTAATTATTTGTTTAAACCCCCTCTATTTTTTCAAAAATCTGAATTCTATTAAACATATAATAATAAATATGTTTAAATACCCCCTCTAAATTTAAATTACGATTTTCCAGAATTTGCTGAATTTTCTATTATGTATTGCCCCCTCAAACTCTTCATAAATATGTTTAACAATCAACAGACGAATGGCCAACACGTGACCATATATGACGTACACCAAGTGAATGGACCCGTGAAGAAGAAAACAAGTATTGTTGGATTCCTATGTATATATGTATGGTTAATTTATAGTACACAGGCAATCTCGATAAATCGGATCAGTCTGATATATCAAGACATCTGATATATCGGATTTATTAAAATTGTGTCAGAACATGATTGCAGGGCATGATAATGTGTATCTATAATAAAACAAAGAGAGGCACTAACCTCCAAAGCCTTTTTCAAGACGTTTACCTTCGAGTATTATCGATTTATGCTTGGAAGTTATTAAGAAGGATATTAAGCTCAATACCAAGGTTTCGATGTGCTTAGTCACTGGACATTTCCAGCGCAGCGGCAATCACTAATTAAAAATTTTGTACTACATATCTTCATTTGACTTAAAGTAAAAACGTATGAAACTTTCAAATGGCACTAATTTCATTAAAATACCTCACTCCCTTAAATATTTCAATATATAAGGCTTTTCTATGACTTTTTGACCTTTAAACTGAGATCCTTCTGCCAATATAAGTTCTTTCGCAAAGTTTTTTACACGAAATGTCAACCGTTAATATAGGTGCATTATTGTAAAATTTGGTCAGAAGTTTATATGTATATTTGTTGGATAATATAAAAATTCTTTATTAATAACGGTAAATATTACAATGTTTCTATATTAATACAATATATTGATACTAATAATTTATTTTTAGACTTAATTATTTCGTTCTCGTTTCTCTCTTGTCAACCTATCATTACGGGTTCGTGTTTGTACCCATTTTATTACGTGTTGTCTATCCCACATATTTTCAGTTTGATTATTTGCTATATTCCAATTATTCAATTGTTGAATAGCATTACTAATATTTTCTTCGCTTGTATCATTCACTAATGGTTCTAAAAATGATAATTCTTGCCCTATAAAAAATGTTTGTCCGATAAATATTCGGAATGGGGTCAATTTTCCGTACACTCGCACGCTATTATACAATATTTGTTACAATTTAATACAAGATGCGGAGATTGAGAATTTTAACCACATAAAAAACGTACAATATCATGATGAATGTCCAATAAATGTCAAGTAAATGTTCGGAACGGGGTCGATTTTCTGAACAAAAAACCGAACAGTGTTTGGACAATATTTTTATAGGGTTGTGTATGGGTGCTCCGGTGAAATCCGTTCAATCCGTCATCCGATCTGATCAAAAAACGGATCATCCAGATTAAGAATGAACGGATTGCGGATAATCCGGATGGATCCGTTGGATAACATCGGATTGATCGGATGTTACACGGATGACCGGATTGACCGGATTGATCAGATAATCTGGTCAAATTCATAACTTTTTTTTTTTTTTTTTTT